TAGGGGCCCCCTCAGATCAAATACAAAGTCCCTAGTTCCTGTCAGATCACCAAACGATAACCAATATTTATTACCAAAAAACTTATACCTATAATTCGATGAAATCCAACCTAAATTACTGACTACAATACCAGCTATTCTACTCTCGCCCAAAAATCAGGCCTTCCGACTTCAGCATGCTTAGATAAATTTTAATCTCTAATCTATTAGACAAGTCCGTCTGTCTGTGGTGCTGTTTCAGCGGCCAAACCGTAAGAGATAGATAAAGAGAATATTTAAGTTATAAGTTAAGAAGTCTGATAAGACTACAAACCGGATTTGAGTAACGTAGCACTTCCGGTTTTCGAGAAATCAGGTTTTGGTGAACATTTGGTTCAATGGTTTGCTAGTATACATATAATGGTATACTAAGCACACACACACATTATAAAGGAAAATCATCAGTAGTACACTCATCAGTATGACTCGCTCTATTTCAAGTCATAATCCACATTAAAGTCTTAGGGGCCCCATTATCCTAATATGCCCAGGGCCTCCAACAGGTTAAAGACGGCCCTGCAAATAAATAACACTTTCCATCCAGTGGGAAGAATGTTTCCTGTGGGATTCCGAAAAAGTAACTAAACATTAACTATACAAATACTATCTCCCTATTCCATCCATAGGGAAGGCCTGTGCCCCAGCAGTGGGGACATTAATAGGCTGATGATGATGAACTAAACATTGCCACACATAGGGAAAGTATATTAAATATTGAAGATAGGATATTTAAAAAAACGATAAATTTCATTTTCTTCCTTTCATTTAAAATGCTATGTTATTTAGGAAAAAGAAAGATTTACCCTTTCGACGGTTATCATAAAACACATCATGTGTTTTTTGTCACATTTCACGAATTTGATTCCAAGTTGTGGGAAACGATTTTAAAAAATCTGGGTATGCCGTTCTACTTATTATCTATAATATAAAAATGAATCGCTGAATGTGTTGCTAAGCGCAAATCTCGAGAAAACCTGAACCTGATTTCGATAATTCTTTTTTTAGAATATTCCTTGAAGTACGAGGATGGTTCTTACGCAGAGAAAAATTAAAAAAAATGCCTGAAAAATTCCAAAAACAACACTTTTCTATACTCCCATACAAACGATTCGTAATAGTACTTAAAAGTCAATTTTAATACCATACCATAAATTTCAAATGTTAGTGGAGAGGTTCCAGGAAGGCAAAACAATTGAGTGCCGTGATGTCAATAGAAGTTTGGAAAAGGCAAATATACCATTTTCAGTTTTTTTTTTATATTATATGAAGAGTCAGTTTAGTCTACACTACAGCTCTACACCGAAGCGAAGCGAGGCCGGGCCAATAGTTAAAAATAAAAACATGTCTTCTTTCAGTAAAATATCCTTTCTTCAATATTTAATCTCTTATCTATTAGACAAGTCCATCCGGCTGTCTGTGGTGCTGTTTCACCGGCCAAACCGTAAGAGATAGATAAAGAGAATATTTAAGTTATAAGTTAAGAATAGTCTGATAAGACTACAAACCGGATTTGAGTAACGTAGCACTTCCGGTTTTCGAGAAATCACGAATTTCAAACGAAACCACACAAAATCTCCGAAGTTCTCAATTAATTAAATACATGTTTTGGTGAACATTTGGTTCACTGGTTTGCTAGTATACTCTAATGTTTAATATTCGTGGGATGCCCTGTATAGCGTGTTATAAAAAAATCCTGAAAATGTTAAATAATGGCTCAGTTACATTTTATCGTTATCCCGTATTGGGGTGCACGAAAGACATTACTCGAATTCGGGCACCCGAAGTAATATTTACACTGGAATACGGACTAGAAGACGGTGTCGGATAAACAATGGTTCCTACACACTTAGGCCCGTATTACCACAGAATATATACACTACGCGAAAAGAAGCGACACTTAAGCGTGTGTGCTCGTAAAATCGCCCGCGGCTATGTGTGGGTATCTGGAGGTGCGCGGGGGCGTTGCGCGGCGCGCGGGGCGTGGAGAGGGCAGTCGCCGACTGCCTCGACCGAAGGCATGGCAGTAGCGAAAAAGTAAAATAATAGCGTTGCACTGCATTGCACGCACAGACTGACTACGCTACGCAATCTTATTATTATTTAGATAATAATAAGAATTATAAAACGGATCGAAAAAGGAGAAAATATATAAAAGTTAGCTATTTGTTATAGTGCCTACATAAATGATTAAACATTGATTATAGAATCAATCCTATCCTTCATTATTTACCCCAGTATCCTTGAATCATTTTACATTTAATAACTTAGTATGCATAAATATTCATTGGCACAAGTCTAAATTCCAAGTTCAACCCTAGCGCATACACGCTCCTGCTCAAGGTCACTGACGCTGGAACTCTCACGTACAGAGAGTGTCACCGCTGTGGTATTACAGAATTGATCTTTACTTGAGTACAGTTAGAAAAGGATATCGCTATGTAAGTACTATTATTGTCATATTTAGTTATTCTTTATATTATTAAGTTTATTTTATATATTATTTAGTTTATTCTTATATATATATTTCTTTTTTGCGATAGTCAGTTGTCAAAAGAACCATAGGTGTCAATTGAAAACCATGTCAGGTTTGTGGGACCTGACGCTGGTTTTCAATTTACACCTTACATGCTGAATTGACAACCTGTTTTGGCGCAGCCGCGAGATAGTAACAGATTAAATCACCGGTGGTAACGAACGGTATATAAAATTGTGTGTGTTACTTTTTTGCTGTGTTGTTATCCTATTGTTTACGATTATTTTTCTATTTTTCTTGTATTTTTTTGTTGCTCAAAATCTTGTATCTACTAGTGATGTAACGAATGTCATTTTTTGAACATTCGCGAATGCGAATGCGAATGTGAATATTTAGTTTTTTTTTTTAAATTGGCGCCAATTGTAATATGGCATGGTGGCAGTCTCGTTCGAATTGCCGAGTTGATATGAACTCATCCGACTGAAGTGTCATTCCGCTCGCACCGGTCTTTCCGTAAACAAAACAAGTGAATTTTGAGGTTAGTGATTGTGAGTGGTAATAGTGATTTATTAACATGAGTAAATCGAATTCTAGTGAAACATGGACTTATTTCACACTTTTCGATGCTGAACGAGCTAAATGCAAACTGTGTAACAATGAATATTCAAGGAAAGGCAGAACTACAACGTCTTGATATTGTTCTTTTCTAATATTTATATTCGCAAAACATTCGCAGAGATTTTGCGTATGCGAATGTGAATGCGAATATTCAAAAATATGCGAATATTCAAAATATGCGAATATTCGCGAATGCGAATGCGAATACGAATATTCGTTACATCACTAGTATCTACTGTCTCGTTGTTTGTGTCAGAATATATGTATTTTCTTTCTTTCTTTACTATATATAGCGACATCCCTTTCTAACTATGCTCAAGGCTAGATCAATCACTAAGAATATTTCTATACTACAGGCCTTAGTCGTTTACCCGAATACCATTGGCACTCGTATTCGGGCTAGCGACCAAATGTAATCGCGCCATTAGGGTCTGTTTATTCATTTGTACTTTCATTCATTCATTTGACTCTTGCTTGAGTGGTTTTTGTTTTCAAAACGGGGACATATGAAATATACTAAACCTGGCCTTGGAGCTGTAAAAAATAACAAGTTACTTAATATTTTTTTATCAAAAAATACAATAGTGAAATCTATTTTATACTTTGACGATCTCCGTGACCAAGTAGTTTGTACGCCGTGTTTCATGGCGTCGCCGACTCGAGAGGTCCCGGGTTCGAATCCCGATGGGGGCAGATGTTTGTGCGATGAATACGAGCATTTGTACTCCAGTCATGGATGTTCAATATGTATTTCTATATAAATATATAATGTATAGTATATGTATTCTATCCGTTACCCAAGCATCCCATAACGCAAGGCTTACAGTGCTTACTTTGGGGCTAGGCTAGTTGGTGTGAGTGTTAGAATTATTTATTTAATTAAATAAGAATCAACAGTAAAAAAAGCAAAACACGAGGGCCTAGTATAACTACTGATTATTTTATTGGCAAAATTTATTTTACATATATCTAGTTTTGGAGGAAGAAATCGTCGAGAGCCTAACCTCGAATTTTGCTATGTTTATAAACAATTTTCAGCGTTAGCTACTGTTGTCCCTATCACACGGTATTTGCCAATGCGCGACAGCAATACTTTTTTCAAAAACCCATATCCTCTAATGTCTCTCAGCTCGCGTGCGCTCTTAAACACGATTACCTGCGCCTTAATTAGTACCTTAAAGAACTTGGGTGCAAGTGGGCCTTGCAAAATTATCCCTTTCAATGCAAAAATATTAATTGATTTAGTTTCACCGCACACGGGCCACACGCCACAGCCACAAACGACGCCACGAGAAGCTAGAAGCGGCTACTAAAGTGGCTGAAGCGCGCGACAGCGGCCGACTAAGGTAAGGGAGAGAGGGGTGGGGAATCGCGCGAGTGACGTGTGGCGGCGTTTTGTATCGGCGCCAGCGTTGCCATTGATACGGCAATTACCGTAATATACGGCAATTTAAGCTCATAATTTCAGATTATACGGCAGGTTTGTCATTGTCGTATTATAATATACGGCAATCCAATTTTGTTTTGAATCGATTTACAAAGATAATATTATGAGTTAATTACGATTCCAACGAAATATCGTACAAGATTGTAGTAAAATTAGGTAATACGGCAAAATCATAATATTTATTTAAAAATACTGCAATCTGATGTATCGAATACGGCAACTCTATCAAACTTGATGAACACTGATCGGCGCATGTGCGCCGGTGCGGGCCACAAGAAGCGAGCAACGACGATTTGTAGCGTGTGGCGGCCACCGGCGTACCGTGTGTGGCGAGTACATATAAAATGTATGAAAATTACAAGAAATATGCCGGTGGCGGCGTTTTGTGGTTGTGGTCGGTGGCCCGTGTGGGGCGACACTTACAATCAACTTTGATGATCTGCACGTTCTCTTCGTTGTTGTCCTCATTGCGGAACACAGCGGTGTAGTAGCCGACGTCCTTGGGTTTGACCGTGTCTAAATCTATCTCTATAGTGTTCAAACTGCAACAGTTAATGATAATCTTTATTTCTTCTTCCACAATCTACAAATCACATGACAACTTATTATTATATAATTTTATATAAGAACAATAAAATAGATTGTGAGAAACTGGTGCATGAACTAGGCAGGAAGCCTGTATCTCAGAGCACCAGGACTCTCCCTCCCCTGGAGAATGCACAGTGAGCAAATTATAGGGCCATTGATCTTACATTTAAATTGTAGATATAGGAAGGAAAAAAAACGTTTTATTACAATAGTGACACGACGACGCTTAAAATATTGTAATGTTATTTAATTACAGGCGCATTTTAATTATATTTGTTTTTATTTTAAGCATGTAGCTGTTAGATGTTACATGCTTAAAATAAAAACAAATTATAAAGATTTGACATTGTGGGTTACCTACAATGCGAAGATATGGCGCTACCTTGCAGCTTAATAAAGCTAGAGAAAATTCGACACGGCCGTCAGGGCCGCGATAGCATAATGGTCAGTGCATTCGCCCGGACAGCGAAGGGTGCGGGTGCGAGTCCCGTCTGCTGCCTTGTCCGCGTGGAATTTTTTCTAGTAAAATTTTCTTTAGATTTAAACATATTAATTAGCTGGAACCAGCGCCGCAAATTACTCCATCCCTCCTGCTGATATGACAATGTGTCGATTCTGACATGATTCTCTAAATCTAAACCTTAAATTAAAGTTGAGAACAGTGTCATCTTTGTCATCTATATATATATACAAAACTCTAAGGTGACTGACTGACATAGAGATCTATCAACGCACAGCCCAAACCACTGGACGGATTGGGCTGAAATTTGGCATGCAAGTAGATGTTATGACGTAGGCATCCGCTAAGAAAGGATTTTGATCAATTCTACCCCCAAAGGGATAAAATAGGGAATTAAAAGGTCGTATGAAACTTTGTCAATTTTAAACCGATCAGGCTGAGACTCTGCATGCAGGTATAAGAAGAATCATAGATGAATATTATTGTGTATAACACAAGCCTGAGAACAAAAACTGTAGTCTACACTTCAGCTCTACACCGAAGCGAAGCGAGGGCGGGCCGCTATTTCTCTATAAGACTGGGCGCCGCAATTACATTTGATCGTTATCCCGTATTCGGTTGTACGAAAGACATTACTCGAATTCGGGCACTCGAAGCAATATTCACTCTGGAATATAGGCTCGAAAGCGGTGTCGGATAAACAAAAGGAAGTCTACCCGAATACGGGCGTACTCGACTCCGTCATTTACACTTAGTCCTTACCCGAATTCCATTGGCACTCGTATTCGGGCTAACGACCAAGTGTAGTCGCGCCATTAGACTGGGCGCATACGTACGGTTACCTGATTCGGTTTCCTGTACCCTTAGTACGAGTTTTACAATTACGAAAACTATGATAGTTTTCATGAGACCAAGGTTACTGATTTTATTGTTTTCGTTTCAATACAAATAAACATTTTTTTAAATTCTATCATTAAATCATTTGCGTCTTCATAAATTTTAAGTATATTTGGTTACTTTTCACCAAAATGGACATAGAAACATAATTTACAATTACGAAAACTATGACAGTTTTCGTGAGCTCAAACTCGTACTAAGGGTACTTATCAGGAATTCCGATTGGGAAACCTGAATGCACGTCTTCACATACAAAATATTCAACGAATATGTGCGACAGTTTTCGTGAGCTCAAACTCGTAATGTGCGACATTCTTAGCTTTTCAGAATGGAAAAAACCTAACGTTCGGTACGGACTCTAACTTATAAAAAACTAGAATGTCTGCGCTAGGCTCACCGAACCCCGAATCTGAGTTCCTGATCAGGAAACCGTAGATGTGCCATATCTTAAAAATGAAAAGGAAAGAATGATGTTAAATTTAATTGGTTGTAGTTAAGCAATTTTCGCAGTGGTTGGTCATTGGACGGAGATTTTTAATAAAATTCGGTTCTGATTGCGTCGTTGCTCTTGGCTGTTAGCGCTGATTGGTTCGATTGTTTGATGTCGAGTCGTTTGATTGGCCATTATCTTTTAAGTGGAAGTGTAGTGGGGGTGAGCCGGCGACATCGGTTCATCGACAAACGGTATATGATCAGATCATCCTTCTAACCTGATTCTGTGTTCTGTGGGTGAGACAATAGTTCGACATAATTCGCCATAGGTTTTTTATCATTCATGACTGATGGAATTGACTGTCGGTTTTGCTTGAGTGTCTAATGGACGCCTTAGTGACCATGAAAGTTTAAAGTAATGTACCAAAATGGCCGCTCGGATTTCGGGAAATGCAGGTTAGAGTCCTGATTCCTTGACGGGTGAAATTCTTTTCTAGTAAAATTTACTTTTACTTTTTCTTTTATGCGAAAGCGGGGCGTAGTAAAAACTACTGTAGAAAACCGTTCAAAGCATTTTGTTCGCCAAGTGACAGAGCGCAAAATTCCGCGATGGTACCTGTATTTTTTTATTAGATTAGTATCTCGCCCGTCCTCTGTCGAGACCTTATGCCGACTTGTGTCCAGGTTTTAAACGCTGTAGTCATCAGACCGGACCATTATTCAGGTCAACTCGCACCGGTTTTTTTATTAGCTATGTATCTTACCCGTCCTCCATCGTGACCTTAAGCCGACTTGTGTCCAGATTGTAAATGTTGTAGTCTTTAGCCCGGACCAATATCCGGGTCAACTCGCATCGGCTACACTTCTCCTGTATTCTGGTATAGCAAAATAAAATTTTGGATGTGCCAATTTTTTTTATTAGCTAAGTATCTCACCTATCTTCTGTCGTGACCTTATACCGGCTTGTGTCCAGGTTGTAAATATTGTAGTCGTCAGACCGGACCATTATCCGGGTCATCTCGCATCGGCTACACTTCTCCTGTATTCTGGTACAGTAAAATAAAATTGTGGATGTGCCAATTTTTTTTATATTAGCTAAGTATCTCACCCATCTTCTGTCGTGACCTTATACCGGCTTGTGTCCAGGTTGTAAATATTGTAGTCGTCAGATCGGACCATTATCCGGGTCATCTCGCATCGGCTACACTTCTCCTGTATTCTGGTACAGTAAAATAAAATTGTGGATGTGCCATTTTTTTTTATATTAGCTAAGTATCTCACCCATCTTCTGTCGTGACCTTATACCGGCTTGTGTCCAGGTTGTAAATATTGTAGTCGTCAGATCGGACCATTATCCGCGTCAACTCGCACCGGCTACATTTGAACTGTACAGTCTGGGGGGCGGCGCGCTGCCCCGCCGTCAGGTCCAGCTCTTTGATCTCCGGTATTTGGACTGTGGCTTTTTCTAAAAAGAAAGACCAAAAATATGGCTTTAGAATATGTGGGCTCAAAGTTTAAATAGTAAAGTCACAAGAAAGAAAACAAAATTTTAACTAGAATGTGGCGGCGACATCTACATGCCCCACTTATAATTCAACATGGAGGAAATAGTCACTCGCCCCCTCAAGAGATGGCGCTACCGGCGCTGCGTTCACAACGTATGGAAGCCTACATCGCGCAAGAGAAATTCGGAGGCTAACACTCCATATATACAATGCCCGACCAACCTCAGTCGGTCCTCGGACCCCGAGCTACCACCACCCTGCTCGGAGGATATTCTTCCCCTTTGACCTTCCTACAAAAAAATATATATATTGTAAGAGCTCGATGGTGTAGGTGGTAAATGCATTCGACCGGCGATCGTGAAAGTTAAGCAACTTTCGCAATGGTCGATCATTGGTGGGTGACCAAAAATTATTACTTCTCACTCCTCCGTGTTTCAGAAGGCACGATAAGCCGTTGGTCCCGGCTGCATCTGCAGTCGTTAGTACCCACCAATCTGCGCTGGGCCCGCGTGGTGGGTCACGGCACAGTCTCCCCTTTCCATGAAGGCCTGTATCCCAGCAGTGGGGGCATTAATAGGCTGATTATTATGAAGAAGTAGGCAAATAAATGGCTCTACCCCTGATGATAAAATGGTGGTGAAGGGATAACTGGTGCAGCAGTTAACCCCAACTCCACAGCCAGCTGTAATGCGAACTTTATTTATTTATTATTATACCTAGGTACACCAACATAGGTGCATGCATATTTTTTATAGCGGCAATACACAACATGAAACATAAAAAAATAAAAAATTATCGAACTGCCCAGAATTAGCCTAGTATTAACAATTCATAACATTTAAAACGTAACAGTGATTAAGATTAATACAATTTGTCAATAAAAACAATACCAAATCAAACCATATTAAATTAAACAATAAAAACTAATTAATTTGTAGACTGAGGATAACATGTCAATTAATTTGCATTTTTACCCTAAAATCCAATGTGGTGCAGAATCTTATTCTTATAAGCTTCATAGCTATCAATAAAACGATCGATTTTGAATATGTTTCGACATGTGATATGGTGCGATTACTTGGTCGTTAGGCCGAATACGACTGCCAATGGAATTCGGGTAAACGACTAAGTGTAAATGAACGGAGTCGAGTATAGTGATGTGCCGAGTCGGTTATTTTTGGTATTCGGGTATTTTAGTACTCGTTAAAAAAAGATTCGAATTAGGACTCGAGTCGGAAGACTCAGGATAGGTATTCGAGTACTAGAACGAGTATTCGAATATTTTTCTGGTCTCGAGTATTTTTTGAATCGACCTTGTAACTTTTCCAGTCTCCTTTCTCCCCGGTCTATATTCTTCGAGTTGACCTTAATAGCATTTCACGACTATATATATAATAGCAGTCTTTTACGACTTTTCGCTGGTACTTGGTCAATGTCATTTGATTGAATTGTAGATGACGATGCTAATGAGTCTAATGACTCCAAGTCCAAATCAGAACTCTCATCCAAGCTTTCGTTTTCATTTTGCTTACTTTTTTTTCTTTTATCGCTGTATAAATCAAAGGATGTATTTTTTTCAAATGTTTTAATAAAATTATGGTGTTTCCAAAATTAACAAATGTTTCTTTACACTCTTTGCACTCCATTTTTTATTTGTTAAAATATTATTAAAATTCCATACTTCGGATTTTTTCTTCGGAGCCATCCTAGTACAAAGTCACTAGTTAAACAACAGTAAAACTTTACACAAATTCTACAGTTAAGCTGGTAACCGAGAGTTCGACTATTTAAAATAGGTAATTACTTATAAGAAACAAATATTTAATTAAACTTTTGTTAACATCTCATTAAAGTGATCGGCCGAGTAGGAAACATAAACACATTCAAATCTGCACACTCATCAACACTTCACGTTACTAACTTCACTGTACGAGTACAACGACTGAGTATTCGAATACCGTAAGTACTCGAAACCTGTACTCGAGTACTGTGGATCTGAATACAATATTTCGAGTACTCGAGTACTTGAGTACCTGCTAGGTATTCGAGTCAGCTTGACTCGGCGCATCTCTAGTCGAGTACGCTCGTAATCGGGTATAAAAATCTTTCTTGCACCCAAATACAGGCTAACGACCATGTATAATCGAGCTGGAAATTTGAGGCAACGTTTCACTTTTAAAAAAGTCCCGAAGTGTCGCCGCACACGGGCCACACGCCACAGCCACAAACGCCGCCACAAGAAGCTAGAAGCGGCTACTAAAGTGGCTGAAGCGCACGACAGCGGCCGACTAAGGTAAGGGAGAGAAGGGTCAAGGAATCGCACGAGTGACGTGTGGCGGCGTTTTTTTTTGTGGCCGGTGCGGGCCACAAGAAGCGAGCAACGACGATTTGTAGCGTGTGGCGGCCACCGGCGTACCGTGTGTGGCGAGTCCATATAAAATGTATGAAAACTACAAGAAATATGCCGGTGGCGGCGTTTTGTGGTTGTGGGCGGTGGCCCGTGTGCGGCGACACTAAGGTAAAGGAGAGAGGGGTGGGGAATCGCGCGAGTGACGTGTGGCGGCGTTTTGTATCGGCGCATTAAGTGGCCGGTGCGGGCCACAACAAGCGAGCAACGATGATTTGTAGCGTGTGGCGGCCACCGGCGTACCGTGTGTAGCGACTTCATATAAAATGTATGAAAACTACAAGAAATATTCCGGTGGCGGCGTTTTGTGGTTGCGGTCGGTGGCCCGTGTGCGGCGACACTTACCCAAGTGAACGATGTCAAGTGATTTCTCCATTTTTCTTCCGTTCGCTTCCTTCGTGAACACGGCGTAGTAAGGTCCCAGGCACGAGGAATCCCACTCTAATTTCAGTGCGATGAACAGGAACACACCGTCAGCGCTTAACTCGAAGGAGTATTTATCAGGACTCAACTGCAACCACAAATAAACAATGTTAGACCTTACCCAACGATCGTCTAGCCCCCCAAAAGCCTAAGCTTAGAACCTATGATGTTTAAAAGTTATTGGCACGTCATACACGCTTCTACTTTGGCATTACGAAAGTCAGGTAATTTCCCGACTTGCATTCAGTCGGGCACTCTCTCTCTCGCCGCGGCTACACTTCGCTACAATGTGTAAATATTTAACGATTTTTCAGACAAAAACCCCAAAAGATAGTACACGGAATACACGGGAACTAATAGAGACAAGAAAAACGTGTCATTTTATTCGACAGTACTGTTCTAATTACATTAATGTAAAAATATTTAGTGATTACTTATTTTGACAGTTGCTGACACCGTTGACAAGTGAAGGCTAAAGAGCGAGATGTAATCATAGAGGGATAAGAATAGAGTAGGAGAGATATGTACTGTACTACAAGTGGAAGTGTCCGTCTAGTAGAAAGAGAGAGAAGATGAGAGAAGGCTAGCTATCTCTCTCACTCTCCCGTGACACTGCACAGTCGTGTGATTGGTCGGTATTGCTGCGCAGTCGTGTGATTGGTGGGTATTCATCCGTAGGTTTTTCATCCAATGCGCATTCGCGATTAGAGAGAGAAAGGCTAGCCGTCTCTCATCTTCTTTCTCTTTCTACTAGACAGACACTTTTAGAGCCGCCTTCCCCATTCTATTCTTATACCTATATGGATGTAGTCTGCTTTATGCATGAGAGACTACTTTAGTGCACTCTATTGGCGGCTTTTGCCAAGGGAACTGCTAGTGCCATTTTAAAATGCAATAATGCCTATATAACCTGTCCATATATTATACGTCATTGCTTAGAACTATTAAGTATTCTGTGGCTTAGTGTCGCCGCACACAGACTACCGACCACAACCACAAAACGCCGCCACCGGCATATTTCTTGTAGTTTTCCTACGTTTCATATGAACTCGCCACACACGGTACACTGGTGACCACCACACGTTACAAAAAATCGTCGTTGCTCGCTTCTTGTGGCTCGCACCGGCCACTTAATGCGCCGATACAAAACGCCGCCACACTTACTTACTCTACATTTAGGCGGCAAGCTACTAAGGGCGGCACGCCTCTTCTTCTGCAATAGTTGGACAAAGCGATTGTGTATGTGACCTCGATGGCGCAAGTGGTTAGCACGATCGGCAGCGGTCGTTAAAGCTAAGCAACTTTCGTAGTGGTCAGTCATTGGATGGGTGACCAAAAATTTCTTATCTCGAGCTCCTCCGTGCTTCGGAAAGCACGTTAAGCAGTTGGTCCAGGCTGCATCTGCGGTCGTTGGCACCTGCCAATCCGCATTGGGCCTGCGTGGTGGATCACGGCCCAATCCCAAAGTTCTGTGCAGTGAGGAAATTAATAGGCTGATGATGTGATCTATAATATTATAAATGTATAGAATGTGTCCGTCTGTCTGCCTGGTACTTCTTTACGCTTAAACCGCTGAATCGATTTAGATGAAATTTAGTACAGGGATAGTTCCAGTCCTGGAAAAGCACATCCGATAGTTTTTATCCCAGAAATCATCCTTCAAGAGGGTGAAATTTCATATTTATGTGAAATTTTGTATGGTAAACCAGTTAAAATAAGGGGACAAAGTTGCGGCCACTAGTGTAGGTATAAATAAAACAAACCGCGTCTGGTATTCACCGTCACTTAACATCAGGTGGGGTGGAGTCATTTGTCGGACCTATCTATAAAAAAACTCATATGGCATGGCTTAGTCTTACTAGTACGGCGGGCTGTTTCCGCAACTCGACACCCAGTGCCTATATTGCGTGGGGATTGGCATCACTCCTGCCATCCCAGCTCCTCCAGAAAGCTCAGCAATCCCCGGATGTTGCTGCAGGCTTCTACTAGTGTCCGCAGGCTTCCCATTAGAGAAATCCTGGCACATATGCAGACCCGTCTTTCCCAGTGGCCACTTTGGGCAAAAGCCCAGGCCCTCGCGATCGATAGGGGGCCCCCTCAGATCAAATACAAAGTCCCTAGTTCCTGTTAAATCACCAAACGGAAGTCATAGGCGCCATTATCCTAATATCCCCAGGGCCTCCAATAGGTCAAAGACGGCACTGCACATATGGCATGTAGTATAATGCGATTCAACTAAGAATAGGATCGACTGGGCGCCATTTTGTGATGTCAAAGCTGTCAATTGAAACAAAATAGGTAGAGTGAGCAATAAAAGTTTTTCTTCGATAAAACTTATTTACTATGATTATGTGAGAAAAAACATCAGATTTTATTAATAAAATGTATTTACTAAGATTGAGAAAAAAGAACACCGATTTTTAATAACATTTATGACTGTGTGAGTAAAAATATTAATCGGAATCTAGCTCTTCAATTCCGCTCAGCTCTGCATAACTACCGGAGTTGTCATCGTCGTCATGTTCGTTAACAAATGTTTCTTTTTTTATTCTAGAATTAGCTGAGTGCTAAAAAAGAGTTCCAAGATTTTTTGTAAACCGTACTTTTCAAGCGTCATTTGACAAATGGAGGTCATTGGCTTTCCTATTCTTATTTGAATCGCATTATCAAATGATAGCGCGTTCGGTCTGACTAACCTTAAACCTGCTGTTATCAACTGCGCTGCCGGTTTTAGCGCCTCCGTCTCTCCCGCCGGTGAGTTTTTCGATGCCACCGCGGAAACCGATCCCGTGGGTAACGCTGACTCCGCTACTAATGCTGAGTCCACCGCTTATGCTGAATCCGCCACCGCCACCCACGCCGAATCCGCCGGAGCCGCCATATCCGCCGCCGCCGGCACCACCGTCACACCCGCCGCCAAACAGGCCTTTGTACCCGAAACACCTCCTGCGGTTCTGGAGTCAAATAAATAAATCTATCTATATATATAAAACTCAAAGGTGACTGACTGACATAGTGATCTATCAACGCACAGCCCAAACCACTGGATGGATCCGGCTGAAATTTGGCATGCAGGTAGATGTTATGACGTAGGCATCCGCTAAGAAAGCATTTTGATCAATTCTACCCCCAAGGGGATAAAATACGGCATGAAAGTTTGTATGAAACTTTGTCAATTTTAAACCGATCGGGCTGAGACTTTGCAATGCAGATATAAGAAGAATCATAGATGAATGTCATTGTGTATAATACAAGCCTGAGAACAAAAACTGTAGTCTACACTTCAGCTCTACACCGAAGCGAAGCGAGGGCGGGTAACCCCTAGTTATAATAATAATAATAGATATTCCCAATATTGTTTTAAACATTCATGGTCACTTACATTATAGCTTTTAACGGGATTGTTACCATGTACCTTGTTTTTTATGAGTCTCCGATATTTCGGCACTGTTGCAACCGCCATGATCACGGAGTAACTAAGTAATTGCGGGTAGATGTTATTGGCAGACATATCGGTCTACCAACAGTGCCGAAATATCGGAGACTCATAAAAAACAAGGTACATGGTAACAATCCCGTTAATAGCTATGATGTTCCCAATGTTTCCAACACTCACACCAATTAGCCTATCCCCAAAGTGAACACTGTATGCTTGTGTTATGGGATACTAGAGTAACGGAAAGAATACATATGAAGGGCTAAGAAGAAAAACAGGCTTTGTCCATTTTTTCTTAACTTGATTTTTTGGAACCTATGGCCACAAAAGCACTCATTTCATCTTATTGCTATCACAATATAGGGTAAAACTCGTTGTGTCTTAATTTTTTCTGTGACGTCTTTTTGTGTTCTGCGCAGTTGCAGAACTTTGCCCGACCGATGACGAGGAAGTGACTAACTATCGGCTTTTTTCTCGCTCAAGAAACGTACAATAGATAAACATTCCGTGTAAATAAAAGATGTATATATACAGGCTGTGAAAAATCTTTTAACGGAGTCGAAGGATACGTATTTTCCACATCATGACGATTTTTTCTTTCTTCTGGACCATACCTGGGATATTTATGGTTATGGAGATATTGAAGGTCAGTCACAATTTTTTTTCAAGATTTTTACATTATATTTTCGAAACGTTATTTAGAAACTTTTTTATTGACGCACTTACACACACGCACACATATACACACAGGCACATTCTTTGCGTAGCGCCGTATACATTGCGTACTGATTTTTTTTGTATTTTTTTAACTTAAAAATACAAATGATTCCCACGATTCCCACGTATAATATTTTGTAATATTACTTGTATGGGTGTACAGAATGCGTAGTTTTAGTCTTTGTCATAGGATTTTTTACATTACTGTTTATATTATCTGTTACTAGTTATAATTTTTATTTTTTTAAGCATGTATCTGCTTGATGTATAAATCTAACGACCTCCGTGGCCGAGTGATTTGTGAGCCGGGTTTCATGGCTGTCGCCGACTCGAGAGGTCCCGAGTTCGAATCCCGGTGGCGGCAGATGTGTGTGTGATGAATACGAGCATTTGTACTCCAGTCATGGATGTTTAATATGTATTTATACAAATATACTTATATATGTACAGTATATGTATTCTATCCGTTACCCTAGCATCCCATAACACAAGCCTTATAGTGCTTACTTTGGGGCAAGGCTAATTGGTGTGTGTCGGAAATATTTATTTATTATTTCATTTATTTATTATCTAAAGAAAATATAAATAGAAAAAAATTCACGCGGACCAGGTCCCGTCTGCTGCCTGGTCCGCGTGGAATTTTTTCTAGTTATATTTTTCTTTATATGTTACTGTTTGCTGACTGTATATACGGCCGGTGAGAACTTTCACCATACATCTAGATAAGGTAAGTACCTAACTAACCTTTTTGCTATAGGGGTCCTTAACAGTCCAAACCCCATCGAACTGATAACCAGGTGGAGCGCGTAGACGTCGTGGAATAGGAGTATAAGTCTTGCCCGTCATACTGTTAGGCACATGCTCATAGATTGAGTCCTCTGTAAAAGAAACGAGCGTTTTGTAACTTCCTCTTACATTTTTTTTGGAGTTTACTCCTTAAGAATCGATTTGCATATATAAGGCGCCCGGTATGAGAAAAATGTGAGGAGTAAAATCTATCGATGAATGACATTAATGACCTCGTCACGTTTTTGTGCGCAACCTCATCTGCGCACCTTTCATTTTTAGCCATGGCAACGGTTTAAAAACATTAAGTTGTCACAAATGTCAATAAAATAAATAAAATAAAAATAGATATAATCGGAGCAAAATTAATGAAAACAAATCAATAACAGAATATAGAGAAATGCCGGTAAGTGTCCAGCACTCTGGAATAGTGATTTTTAGTACAGATGGAATTATAATACATATTTACAAAATGATGATTAGTGTGTGATATTTTTGAAATTCTGTGTTTCCAGAAATACATAATAAAATATATGATGAATATCGCTGATGTTAGATGATAAAATGTGTGACATGGAACCTATGATAGTCGAAACCATGGGACGATTCCTGAGGTACTCTACTTGTAACCGACTTCTTCGGACTTGATTTTGTTTTGTGTCTGTTCAAAGACAATCGTTTTTAGAGTGTAAACTCCGGTCGTGCGTCGGAGCTAACACACACAATGTTTTTTTTTTATTTATTTATTTATGGACCATCAACACAGCTATATTAATACAAATAAACTTTCACATATGCTTAAGTATTAGGATATAATATAACTGTAATTAAAGATGGCCACATCATGCGCTAAACAGTAAACAGTTTTTTTTACATTTTCTACATACGGAATTGACTACACAACACAAATATTTGCCCAATCACAGAACAACCACAACAGTCTATCATGCTCTATAATTATTTAAAAGGGGAGAACACTGCCAAATATGGTCGTAAGTTCAGAGAACCACTTACGTTCCAGACCCATTAAAAAAAACAAAAGAGAAAAGAAAAGAAAGAAAAACGTTTAAAAAATATAGAATACTAGCTGTGCCCCACGGTGTATTAGGGATATTTTCCCGCAGTAAAACGTAGCCTATGTGTTAATCCAGGGTGTCAGCTAAGTTTATACCAAATTTTATTAAAATCGCTCCAGCCATTTAGACGTGAAGAAGTAACAAACATACACACTCACAAACTTTCACCTTTATTAGTACGATTACATGTAAGGGATAACATACACACTCACAAACTTTCACCTTTATTAGTGCGATTGCATGTACGGGATAACATACACACTCACAAACTTTCACCTTTATTAGTGCGATTGCATGTAAGGGATAACATACACACTCACAAACTTTCACCTTTATTAGTGCGATTACATGTAAAGGATAACATACACACTCACAAACTTTCACCTTTATTAGTGCGATTACATGTAAGGGATAACATACACACTCACAAACTTTCACCTTTATTAGTGCGATTACATGTAAGGGATAACATACATACTCACAAACTTTCACCTTTATTAGTGCGATTACATGTAAGGGATAACATACACACTCACAAACTTTCACCTTTATTAGTGCGATTACATGTAAGGGATAACATACACACTCACAAACTTTCACCTTTATTAGTGCGATTACATGTAAGGGATAACCAGGACCCTGCCTCAGCATTTAGCAGGTGCGACAGTGGCGTAGCGTAGTGAGGGCGGCAGGGGCGGCCCGCCCTGGGCGGCACTTCTTAAGAGCCCTTTCACATTTTTTGCAAAAATTCGTATTTTACATTTTTTATGCATTTTTCAATATACTTTTTTTTTCACAAAATGGTAACTTACCGGGAATTGCTGTAAATCATAACCATTGAAATGATTTTTTAAGAAATTTTGTAACGCATAAGTTAATAAGTAAAGAGTGTATTCTAAAGGAAATTTAACTTGAAAAAAAGCCACGCGGCCAGGCAGCAGACGGGACTTGAACCCGCGCCCTTTGCTATCCGGGCAAATGCAATAACCAATTATGCTACCGCGGCTCTATTGGCCCCGTCGAAATTCTTCTAGCCATTCTTAAGCTGCAAGGCAGCGCCATCTCTTCGCCACGTCTTGTAGGTAACCCACAATGTCAAATGAATACTTTTACAAGTATTAAACATTTTAAAAGAAGAAATTGCAATTATGGTTATATTTTTTTTTATTTACAAACAGTATGCAGCATGTAACTGCTTGATGTGTAAATCTAAAGAAATTTAACTAAAAAAATATTCCACGCGGACCAGGCAGCAGATGGGACTCGAACCCACACCTTTCGTTATCCGGGCGAATGCACTGAATGGGCGAATGTTACCGCGACCCTGTTGGCCGCGTCGAAATTCTTCTAGCCATTCTTAAGCTGCAAGGCAGCGCCATCTCTTCGCATTGTAGGTAACCTACAATGTCAAATGAATACTTAAAAAATAAAAAAATATCACTATATAAAATATCACATACCATGATTATTTTTTTTTTAACGGAAGGCATGCACACTCACACACACACACACACACGCTGCACCAAACACTTACGTACACACTCATTTACACAAAGTTAGTTATCATGCTCCTTTTATAATTCTGATTTATATAGGTATTTATATTTATCGCAAAATTAATTTGAATCTTTGTTGGTATTTCTTTTATATTATTGTTAATTTGTAATTTCTACCCTACGTTATCATTTTAATTTTTAAATTGAATACAAAGTGAGTTTCTGTAATTGGCTAAAGTACCGTTTAAAATTTTATATTAGATTATATTGTGTAAAACGCTGTTGAAACTTGTTGATGATAAATAAATAAATAAATAAATAAATCACTATAATTGCTATTTCTTCTTTCAAAATGTTTAATACTTGTAAAAGTAAGATAATGTCAAAAATAATTTTCTTTTTTGTAAAGTAATGTTTACTTACATGGAACAAATTCTAGAAAAAAAACAATAATAAGAAATTAGCTTGGATGGAAATTATATAGATAAATCAAATTTATTATAATATGTAGTAAATTTTGAACAATAATTATATTTTTAATCAATTAACTACATAATTTGGAAGTCTTAATAAAATATTTAATAGAAAAAAAATCATAATTTGTAAAATTACTTAAAAATAAAACATTTAACATAAGTATTTATTTAGTTATTTGGCTGTACGTACCATCATCTGGAAAATAAAAAATATTTACATTTTTTTTTATATTTAGATCTAGTTTTTTTTAATGAGGGTAAAATTTAACTGATTTCAGATTATGCAACACTTGCAGTCGGCCGTGACTTTTTGTGTAATACTATTGTATTTCTAGACTTATGTATTTTGTCTTTAGTGTGTGCTGCTACACACATCATTAATCACCATCAGCCTATAAATGTTCCCACTGCTGAACGGGATAGCCATAATGGTCCATGACCCATCACGTGGATACTTTTGGAGAGTGCTAACTGCAGATGCAGCCGGGACCAAACGGCTCAAACTTCTTCCCAAGCACGGAGAAGTAAATAAATAAATATTTCCAACACTCACACCAATTAGCCTAGCCCCAAAGTAAGCACTGTAAGGCTTGTGTTATGGGATACTAGGGTAACGGATAGAATACATATACTGTACATATATAAGTATATTTTTATAGAAATACATATTAAACATCCATGATTGGAGTACTAGGGATTCGAACCCGGGACCTCTCGATTCGGCGATACCATCAAACCGGGCGTACAAACCACTCGGCCACAGAGGTCGTCAGAATAGAGTAAAACTTTGGTCACTCATCCAATGACCGGCCATTACAAGTGTTGCTTAACTTCTACGATCGCAGATCGAACGCGCTAATTAGTGTCATGGAGCTCCTTAGCTCTTAATGATATTAATTAATAAAAAAAATTGTGTGCACGGACCACACACCTTCGGAAAAGAAGTGAAACTTCTTTTCTTAAATAACCTAACATCAGGCGGTGCATTAGACATAGGGGAATGAAGCAGCGCAAGCAGACCCGTCTTTCCCAGTGGGCACTTTGGGCAAGTGCCCAGGGCCCCGCGATCGATAGGGCCCCCTCAGATCACAAATACAAAGTCCCTAGTTCCTGTTAGATCACCAAACGGGGGTCATAGGGGCCCCATTATCCTAATATGCCCAAGGCCTCCAATAGGTCAAAGACGGCACTGACCGCACGCATCACTCATATATATTGTCGCGTGTCACGCTCGTGACGCTCGTAACGTTTCAGCATTCGCCGTGTTACCTTCCAAATTTCATATATATGTAAATATGAAATCGCGAATAAAAATCAGCTGTTTCATACATTTCGGTCGATTAGCTGATGCACTTTTGTATGAAACAGCAGATTATTTTTTTCGCGATTTTAGCGTTGGTCACATAATAAATGTTGTTCCTGTTGATGGGTATAATCACCCCCTAAGAGGGGGCGGGGGTTTAAAATTAACCCTGTATAATCGTGTGACGCGCGCGACGCCACTTCACGTCACTTTAATAATAATTCATTTATTGATAAATAATATTGTGACATAATACTTACTTGCCACCTCTGTCAAAAATAAAATGATTAAAAAAAATTTGCTCACAAATAAAACACAATAATACATAAAATTTGAAAGTCAGTTTCAATTTCGACTTTATATTTTTACAAATAGAATTCAAAACCGATTTAGTATATTTTACCATTTTACTTCAAACTGCAAATATTCTTGACTTTTTAAATCATTTATGCAAATCGTGTATGTAGGGATGTATATATATTGTCGTGTGCGACATTAGTGACGCACGTAGCGTTTCAGCCTTCGCCGAGTTACCCACCAACTTTCATGCTCGTCGAGAAAAGCTGCGCATGCATCCGACACACACACACACACATCCCATTTATATCCAGTCCATAAAAAAAATCACTTCAAATACTACCGGTATCGTCAAATAAAAGTTTAGTTATATAAAGAAAACAAATAATCGCCACATTCGCTAATCTTTGTT